GAAGGAAAAAGGAGAAGAGGAGGGCAGAGGATGAGATGGTTAGATAGCATCACTGAAGCAATGAACATGAAATTGAGCAAACTCCAGGAGACAGTGAAGGCCAGGAAGGCCTGGTGCAATATGGTTCATGGGGTCACAAAGAGTCGGACATGACTTAACTGAACAATAACAAAATTGCATGGGTAAATCCAAAGTTCCTCATGCTTCAGTATGTTCCAAATTTCAAAATGCAGTAAGACACTCATATCTTTAAACCCTTTTTTTTCTTTCCCCAACAAGCCCAAAACACATACGTTAATGTCCAAAATGTTGTTTCCAATACAGGGAGGTTAAAACCCAACCTTTACTACACATTTTCTGGGGTATTGAAATAAACATGAAAAAGTACCACTTTTACACTGTAACCCATTGATTTGTTGAAACAGAATATCCCATTGCTTCCTTGCTCACTTTTTTTATTAACAGCTTTTGTACACCAGCTCGATCTAACCAACTCTGGGTGATATACATGAGCAAGCCAATACAAAATACCTTGGCAATTAAACATAGGTTTTAAAAACTCCAATAAATTAATAACAACAAAAACAGGTAAGTGTTTCTAATCACGCTAGAGGCCCATGGGATATAATTTATGTTCAGTGTTAGCAAGGTGATTGGGGAGGAGATGGAAGACTATGCCTGGGGGAAATATCTACTGTTATTCAGTAGGGTTATTGAGCCAGGTATTGGGGCAGGAATCGGGGACTACTCACTACCATCTAAAGAGGGCCCCCCCCCCCGTAGTCTGTTTTGAGTCTACAGTACCACCAAATTTACTTTTGTTTCATTTGGGTGATTTACTCAGATTTATTTACTATACAATAGATAGGTTGTTTCCTCTAACTACCATGAGTAATGGTAAATTTAGTCGTCTTTGAGTCAAGCTTGGCTCCTGTGACTTCATGGGCATGCTCTCTTCTTGGAAGCAGTACATAAGTGCTTTGCTACTACTACTACCTGGGATGGTTTTTGCCAGTCCAACCTTGGTATTCCTTGGAGGGGTCCCACCCAAGTATTAACCAGGTCTGACTCTTGCTGAGGTTGCTTTAGCTGTGATTTGGAAGATGGAGTATCTTAGAGAGTTAGTTCCCATCACAAGTAAAAGCCTTGTATTTTTTACTACTGTTGTTAATGTGTGATCAATCCCTTAACTCTTGTTGTTTGCTTGCTTAGCTGATATTAAGCTCCATTGGTGAACTGTACTGTAATAGGACTGCACTGTAAGCGACCTGCATCTGCTTCTCTTCTCTTGGAGAGTGGTCGTGTCTTGACTCTGACCATTTCTCCAGCAAGAGGGAATCTTGGACGTAGAATGAGTGCCTCATTTACTGCTCCCGGTTGTCATCCAACCCCCCATAAAAATGAACAAATCCAAATCACAGCAGCAGCATTTTCTTTAATGTGTAAAGTGTGATTGAGTAAGGTACTCATCCCTATTCTCAATCTGCTCCTGTCATTTTTTTTGTTGGAACTCTATTATTTTAAAGAAGTATCAGGAGTTCCATGGATGAGGAGGCAGCATGGCAAATGGATACTGCACTTCATGAGGTACTCAGTGGGGAAAGTGTAAACATAACACGTTTGCTGTATGCCCTTCCCCTGAATCTACTGAGGGTGAATTAAGTGCAAAAGGCTATAGAAAGGTTCCCTAATACCCTTCACAGCCAACTTCCTCCCATTCCAGTATTTGACGCAAGTGTGCAACTGCCTCAGTTCCTGGCCAGCCTCTCTGGTCTGGTTATTGTCTGCCTCGGGTTTGTTAATCTTAAACTTCTTCCTTATCAGCTGTGTTTGGCCAATGTTGTCTGCTCCCTTGTAGTGGCAGTTGGGTTTTTTTTTTTTTTTTAAAAAAAACACTGCTTCTCATCACAGAACATGCAAAACCAAAATGTGGTCCCTTTTTTGGGGGGGGGGGGACTTAGCATCTTGTGAATCCAACTAATTCTAGTCAGTGACCCATACTTAAACAATGGTTCAGTGAGCTGGGTAAATATTGCCACTAGGTTTATCCAGGGTCTGGATTTTTTCTTTTTTCTTTTTTTAAATCTCAGGGCGTGGAGAGGCCATACGCATGCTGCTGGCTGATCAGGGTCAGGAGTGGATAGAGGATGTGGTGAATGGGGAGATTTGGCAGAAGGGAGATCTCAAGCAATTATGTGTGAGTAAAGCTGCCTTCACGATAGGTTTTATTTTATGGGCTTGGAAGGGAAATCCTTCTGTCATGCATTCTAGCTTCTGATGTTATAATTTCATTAACTAGGCTTTTATCTTAGGATGGCTAGCCTGTAGCTCTCCAGTTAGTTTACAAATTTCATTAGCTTCACTATTTGCAATACTAGTTGGGTTTTACAGGAGGTATTATTCAGCAATATCTTTACTTTATTGGAAATACTATGGAATGCCCTATCACTAACCTTTTTTCCCCTCATCCCTTCTCTTCCAGGTCTTTGGCCAACTGCCTAGATTCCAGGATGGGAATTTTATATTGCATCAGTCAAATGCTATTCTGCGCCACTTGGCTAGGAATCATGGTGGGATTTATGGGCATATCTGTGGGCATGTTGCCTTTTGGGGCTTGGGTACTAGTGTCTACAAATGGCGCTTATGTGTGTATGTAACCATGCCTCTTGAGTTGACCATAATGGAATTCTACACACTTGACCTTAGCCAAAAGACCAGGAAGTGGTATAATGGAATTCAATTAGTAGCTAATAGAGATGAGCCAGTTTGGTGTACAGGTAGTTCTCGAGTTACAACCACAATTAGGACCGGTCACACCTGATTTTATGAACTTTTTTGATGTGGTTATTAAGTGAATCTGGTTTCCCCCTGTCACTTCGCTTGTCAGAAGCCCCATGGGAAAGTTGCAGGTGGTGATCACATGACCCCAGGATTCTGCAACTGTCATAAATACATGCTGGTTGCTAAGCGCCTGAATTTTGATGATGTGACTGTGGGGATGCCGCAATGGTTGAATGTGCGAGGACTGGTCATAAGTCACTTTTTTCAGTGCTGTAGCAACTTTGAAGGGTTATTAAACAAATGGTCGTAAGTCGAGGACTACCTGTAGTAGTTAAGGCACTGTGCTAGAAACTGGGAGACCATGAGTTCTAGTCCTGCCTTAGGTAGAAAGCCAGCTGGGTGGGCTTGGGCCAGTCATATCCTCCCAGCCCTAGGAAGCAGGCAGTGGCAAACCACTTCTGAAATCTTGCCAAGAAAACTGCAGGGCAGTCCAGGCAGTCAAGAGTCAATGACTTGAAGGCAAAAAAAAAAAAAAAGTTACTGCCTGTAAGAGATTTTAAAAAATGCAATAAAAGGTAATTACCAGATGTGGGTGTAAAAATACATTAAATGTCAGACAACAGAGGTATGATTTGGTTAAATATTGATAAAGAATTAAAAATTGATTTGGGCCAAATATGTCAATCATATATATGCTTAGCAGTCGTAGTTTATCTCCTAGCCCAAAAGTTGTTTGATGTGGGAATCTCTGATTTCATTTGCATATAATTTTAAGCCACAGTGTATTGTTTTGTTTTTGACTTAGTGTATTTGTAACTCCACCCATTATGCATCAAGCTGCTGTGACTTATTCAGCAAACCATGCTTAGAAAAATCCAGGCCTGAACTTGTATGAATGCTATAGTGGGTATGGCAGAAAAATGCATTCTTAGTTAGCAATATTGTTATGACCCTCTCTGACTTTGGATCTAGACGCTTTCTTTCTTGCCCCTCTTCTTCATGGCTCAGGACTCTATGGTCAAGATGCAAAGGAAGCAGCACTGCTGGACATGGTGAATGATGGTGTGGAGGACCTGCGTCTTAAATATGGCCACTTAATCTACCAGAACTACGTAAGATGGATTACAGGAGAACTTGATTTTGTTTTTAGCTGCTGGATGAAGAGTTCAGTCCCCTATTTAATGATGCCTTGTTCTCTCTGACAACCAACAGAATGATCAAATCCTGGGCTTTTCTTACAGCATCTAAGAGGAAGTAGTTTTTAACTGGGGAAAGCTAATTTAGGTTTCAAGCTAAAAATACAACACTAAACCTGATTAATTTAGTTTAGCTGAACTCTTTCCCCCACTGCAGATGATAAAGCTTTAACCAAAAGGGCTCCAGTAAAAGTGACAGTGATGTTGGCTCCATGATCTCATTCAGTTCCCACTTGCCAGAGGATGTGGCTGGGATGTTTCCTATAAGAAAGCATCACTGCGATCCAGGTTCTTTGCTTTGTTGCAGTGAATTCTGTCAGGGGTTCCCCACTGGCTGGGAGGAATGTGCTGCCAAATAGTTAACAAGGGGCTTGCTATGGGGGAGTAGGAGTGATGGGATTAGAAGTAGTGGAATGGCTGCCTGCATGGCTCAGAGGGGTTGGCTCACTTCTGTTGAGCTGGGTGGCCCGGTGGGAGAGGATGTGGAGCAAGAGAGCAGCAAGGTCTGGAAGGCACCCATTAGGTGTTCAAAGAACACAGCAGCAACAGCAGCTTATTTCCCACTCCAGAAGTAAGAGCAACTGCTGCACTGGATGCATAGGCTAGACTGCTGTTGCTGGCAATACAGATGTGCTGCTGCTGAGAACAAAAATTTAGCTGGAGCTGCAGTGAGGTTTTCTCCTGTCAGAGCTGTTCAACCTGCTGGAGGACCCTGGTGGTGGTGCACCCTTTGCAGCACTTTCTGGACCCAGGCAATGAGTGGGTTGTCAGGTATACCGATAGGAAATGCATTACCTGGAAAGGGTAGGGCGCAAGGGCAAGGTACACATGAAAACTAATTATTAGCAGGGGAGATTTGGATTCATCAGAAGCATTGTGAGAAGATCTCTTCTGACTATAAGCAGGGTGCTGAAAGAATGCTAAGTGGCAGAATATCCCATTAAAAAGAATATGCATCCAGGGCAACTGTTTTATGAAGAGTATGGGCTTAGCCCGGTGACCCATGAATGCTAGCTAGCTATTCATTGTATTGAAAGTAAAAGCTAGATTTATTAAGAAATACATGAGGATTAGAAAAGCCTGCTACCTACACTAGTCCTGGAGGGAAGGAGAAAATTACCTTTGTTGGTTAAACACAAAGATTCAAGGAACAATAAGTTGTATGAGAAACAGCCATCCGTCTCTCCATTTACCCTGGGTTCACAGGTGCAAAGAGATTATGCAATCTCCAACAACCAGACTGTTTTTAAACAAGGGGCTTGGATAACCCCCCACCCCACCCCAAAATAAGGGCTCGAGCAAGTCTCTCGTTTCACTGCTCAGGAGAAGTGAATAATTTGGTTTGCAACATTGGTAGAAATGCCTCGGTGCGTTCCTTTTATCCCAGTTCTTTGGGGGAAGAACACAGGCAAGCTTGGAGGAGGAAAGGACTGACTCTTGTTCTTTCACAGGAATCTGGCAAAGCTGCTTACATTGAGGCCCTGCCAGCTGAGCTGCGTCCCTTTGAGAAGCTTTTGGCTCAGAATGATGGAGGGAAAGGCTTCATTGTAGGCAAACAGGTAAGCAACCAGATGATCATCCTGTTGGAGACAAACATATAGGGGTTGGACACACTAATGGCCTTCCGGAGATGGAGGCAATTACTTTGGGATGAAATTCACATGTCATTGTTGATATGTGTTAATTGTTAATAAAATTGTTAATAAAATCATTGTGGTTTACTGTATTGAAGAAGCTATAACTGTCTGGCTTCATGCAACACATTAGGCCAGTGCTGAAGCAATCAGGTATAGCCAGTGTGCTGCGTGAAACAGGCTTCTGTTTTATCTTGTCATATCCTAATCTACCCATTTTAGATAAAGAGGGAATATTGACTTGCCCTTACTGTATAAGTGGAGTAATATATTTAGAATTCTAGTTCATCACTTCCAGCTGATAGTATTTCTTGAAACTCAAGAAAGCAGCTTTAAAAAAAAAAATTGAGATTTTTCTGATAGTTGGGTTTTGGTGCTGTGTTCTATGCTTTCCTGCAACCCCACAGAATTGTGGAATATTGGAAAGAAATCATATAAAGGGGTTTGGAACTCTACCTTTCTTAAGTTTCAAGAAATACTATCAGCTGGAGGTAGAAGGAAAAACTCCAGCTCTGCCATTATAGATGCTCAGCAAATATGGTAGAGGTATTCCTTGAAAGCTTTGGCTTGTATTTAGGGAGTGGGGTAGAGCATCTGTTTACTGTTACATACAAATGTAGAACCAAAAGTGATTTGCAAAGTTAATGAAGTTTTTATTTCCATTGCTCTCTTCTGTTAATGGGCCCCTTCTCTCCATTTCCCCCAGATTGCCTTTGCAGACTATAATCTGCTTGACCTTCTACACGTCCACTTGGTCCTGGCACCCAACTGCCTGGCTTCCTTGCCTTTGCTGGCTGGATATGTGCAGCGCCTCAATGCCCGGCCACTTCTCAAGGATTTCCTGGAATCAGATGCCCGTAAGAAACGTTTCATCAATGGGAATGGCAAGCAGTGAAGCCATTTCTCTAGGATGTAAGTTTGTAGTTTTGTACCTTTGAGATCTAATAAAGCTAGTTTAAAAAAAGGCCTGCATCTCTTGGCTGGGGAAGGAAAATCACGAAAACTGTGAGCATGGAACCCTTCTGCAACCCAGGAAAGGTGCTCAGGACCTGGTGTCTGGTTGTGCTAGAGAAGCAATAATGCTAAAATGACTGATTAATGGTGGTGGTAGATATGCTTTTTAAAAAGGATAAATTGCAGCTCTGCAGAGACCGATTTGTGGTGGGGCTAGAGCACCATTCCCTCATGCTCTTTTCCCATTGGAATCAAAACCCAACAGTTGCATTTATTTTTTTTTAATCAGAGTTCCTCATAGATCAGTCACCCCTCTGCCAAATATATTCTGGTCTTTCTTACTAGCAGTGTGTATTCCTGTTCTTTAACAGTAAACTACATGGCTACAGTTCCAAGATTAGAGCCTGTACTGCATTACAGGATTAAGGTTGCTGAAACTGCCAAGTTTTTGTTTTTACCCAGGTCTAATACTGAACTTTACAACAAAATGAGAAAATATTCTATTAGGTCAGTTTGATTAAAATCATTTCAGCATTCATTTCTAGGGTAACTTATTTACAGCTCCCCAGTCAAACATATCTTCCATAATTTCAACTGGTGCCAATCCTACAGTCTTTTCTGTGCTGGATCAAGTTATTTATATTTATTATTCATTTAAAAAGGTCGCACTGCTATTCTGCTTGAGAGTCTTATTACCTTTATGGTCTTACTACCTTTATATCTTAATTAGCTGTATTTTTGTTACATGTTTTTTTTTATCATACATACGTTATAGGTTGAAATATTTAAAATAAATATCCATGGAAGAGAAAACACATTTTCTCACAGCAGAGTTTGTAGCCAGGGAGTTCATTTAAAGGAGGAGACACATTTTTTGGTTTGTCATAGATGAAAGATACTCTTGACTCTTCCCTGTGAAATATTTTCTTTTACAAGGGAACTACCCTTTTTTTTAAACTTATTTTTAAAAAGAAACTGCCTCTAAGGGTACAAGGATGAGAGAATGATGATGTCTTCTCAGGGACAAAGCTGATTATTCTTGCCTCTTGTTTACCTTTCTGTGTTGATTTTACAGCAAAGTAAGTGAGTTAATCCTGGAAAAACTTATTTTAGCCCTTATTTTGGAAAAAAAAGTCATTCTGCCATAAATTGCTGAATTGCAAATGAATTTCAGCAGGGTGATGTTGGACTCAGGACTAATATATGGAGTTTGGGGCCACATACAACTCAGAAATGACACATTCCTGTCTTTTCAGCATATAAATGGGGAGAGACCTCTGTATGATTGCACTGAAAATCATGGCCATGCTTTAAGAAATTGCTTTTAGTTTTAGGTGCTACAGTGATTATAGTTGTGCGTGTGTACTCCTGATGTTTCTGTTAGCAACAGACCACCCCTCCCACCCCTCCCAGATCACCACCACAAGCTACTGTCACTAGGAGCTCAAGACGTTTTGCTGTGTGAGGCATTGGACAAGATCTCTGTTACATGTATGTTGACCCCACCGGTAGCTGAACTTTACCTTCACCGGCCGAAGAACTGTGTCTTTCACTCTGCTTGAGGAGAGCAAACTAGCTTTAGTGCATAAGCCCTACATGCCATTTCGTCCTTCAGTACCTTATTGATTGATTGATCAAATTTATATGCTGCCCACCTCACTGTACTTCACCTCACTAACTTCCTACTTGCTCATCCTTCCATGCACCGTTGTGCATCATGTGGTCATACCTCACTTTAATGGATTGACATTGTCCTTTCTGCTTGCTTGGTTAGGTGTTTTGCCCAGCCGTACTGCCTGAGAGATTGGTAACTAAAGCTTCTAGTGTCTTCTGTTATCCAGGCTGGCAACATGCAAGCAGCGGTGCTAGCTCTGAAAGATGGGAATGCTCACAGAACAGAGAGAAGCCAGGGTTAGGAGGATCAAGTGCAGTTGGAGATACTGCTGCAGTGCCTCCCTGCACCTTTTACCTGAGGCAGGTACCTCACTCAGCCTAATGGCTGGGCTGGGCTGGGCTGGCCTTGCCTTTCTTTAAACAAGGATTGGAAAGCTATGTTCCAAGATCTGTGTGTGGCTGATAGATCCCTCTTTAGAATTTTGGAGCAGTTCCATGCAACTACTATCCTGGAGTACACTCCAGTATAATGGGATCATCCTTCTCAGACCAAGAATCAACAGGATCAGAGAGATCAGTGGTGTAATCCTCCTCCTGGCAGAACAGCTTAGCAGCTGTCTGAAAATGAGGTAAACTGGCAAAGTCAAGCCCCAGTGGAGCTAATGGAAATGGAGGGGTCCAGAAGCTGTGGTCCTTTGTATACCAGACAGAAGCATATCAGAGCACTTCTTATTTAAGAAGAAATTTACAGAAAACAGTTCTTCTTCCTGAACTATGTTATTTAACTTTAAGATGAATTTGTTTGTTTCCTTCTTCATGCCATGCCATGGCCTTTCAGACTGCAAGCCTATGAGCATAATTTTTAAAAATTATGCTCATATTTTTAAAATTATGCTCATATTTTTAAAATTATGCTCATATAAAATTATACATACATTCTGGGAATATGTTTGGCTGAAGAGCAAGATAAATTCCCATCAACTAACTAAGTAAAGCAAGCCAATAGGGGACATTTTTGGTGAGAAGAAGCACTGTTTATTGTATCATTGTTAGAACATAGGGAGGTGTAGAATGGTAAGTCCATAAAATTATGAACAGTATTGATTAAAGCTGGAGACATCTAATGACATACAGATAAATATTTCCTCATATGCTATATATAAATCTATGGGATTTATAGCCATCGTATATCCCAATGACTAGTAACATAAAATGCATATTTCAAGTACTAAACTGGCCAATGCTATTAAAATGAGGGGGAAAATAGTTTTATTTTTTGAATTGGATAAAACAGCAAATTGTTGTATCTCCTTACCTTAATCATGTCTATCTTACAAACTTTCTTAAAGCTTTTGGTTGATTACTGCCCAGGTCACATCACATATGACATACTAGCAAAACCAGTAGATAAATATTATGTAAGGTTTTATGCTTATTTATGTTTATTAATACATTTTACATAAATGCTTGAACTTTCCATAAATAGGCTATCAAAAATGTGTACAAAGATGTGTAAAATCTTTGATCTAACCTGACAGAGAAGCGAGTTAACTGCTTGATCAGAGTTTCACAATGAGTTGCATTCATAAAGCCAAAAGGCTGCAGACATTTGTGCAGAATTGATTGCGATAACCAAGACTGGATGGAAAAGATATTCAGTATCTGATAAAAGATGGTTGATCTTGCTATAAACATGTTATTAATTTATTACAATCTTTCAATTTAGAGGACAAAAATGGTAATATATGAAGTATTTGCATCATACAGTTAACTTCTGCTTAAGTACAGTGAAAGATGACATAATGCTAACTTGGATCAAAACTAGAAAGCAGTGAACAACTGGCAGATTTTCTGATGGGAAAACATGGGGGAGTTTGTTTAATATACCCTAACAATATGATTCTGAGCTTATATACAAAAAAAGAACTCACTTATTCACTTATTATCTTTTGTAGTCCTAGGCAAATAAGTTTCATGAACTCAGTACTTCTTATATAGGTGGTCCTAGTTTAGCGACTGCCTTGTACAGCAACCATTCACGGTTATGATGGTGATGAAGAAGTAACTTTGTGACTGATCCTCACATTTACGACCTTCGCAGGTCTGTAAAGCAAAGAAGAGCTGAAGCAAGGTCATAAACACAGTCATGGTTTCACCTAGTGACCTCTTTGCTTAACAACCAGGTTGCCTGTGCTGGTTGTGGTTGCCAAGCGGGGACTGCCTATACCAAGAGAAATGTTAAAGGATTGTAGCAGAGCAACCCAATACTATACATATTTAACTAGAAATATTACACTGAACCTATTAGTTTACTATATCACTAGTAAGCATTTATTACTGAAGGTTTGACTTCTAAAGAGGTATTAAAACACAAGCCTTGCACAGAATCCATTATTCACTTAGCTCACACTTTGTGGTAGGCTATGGTTTATTGAATAATCTATAATTGGCTGGATTCAGCATACAATAGAGACTGATTTGCAAACCCACATTGGCTGGGTTCACATAACACTCTGAGACAATATCAGACAAGCTGCATTATGACTCAGCATGATGGGCAAACCCATGATATATCTGAGTGGGTCTTACTGTAAATCCTTCCCATCCAACAGAACTTGTCACACTAATATTCTAAAGGTCTTTTTGCCCAAGAAATTTGTAGTGCAAGCATGTTTATATATTTAGTTGAAAGTAACCTGAAGATTTTAAGATGCCTTTAAGGAGCAATTTAGAAATACTTCTGCAATTATTTGGAAATAACCAAGATACATATATTTAAAGACAGCACTTACAAAGCAATTCATTACCATGCATGATCACTCAGAAGTAAAAAATTTTTTCTTCCCTCCAATAAAATTATTGCCATCAATTGTCCTGTGAGAAGGAACCCTGAAGAAAGAGGGACAAAGGCAGGTGGGAACTCACCATGGAAGTCTTCCCAGCTACACTCTGAGGTTCTCATCATCAACTGCCCAGTGTGAAGGATCCTAGAAATATGCTGTTTTTCAAATATTAATTATATGTATAATCTTTGAAAACATTTTCATTTGGAAAGCTTGCAATAAACATACCTAAACTCTACTAAATCCAGTTATGTCTTGATTGTACCCTTTTCCTCATTCCACAGCATGCATTACTTGTACACCACTGAAATATGGGAGAAGTTGTTGAATGTCTTGTGTAAATATACTGAGCGTATAAAGACGAACAGAAGATCATCTTCCCACATTTGTAGGGTACTAATAGTTGTGAATATGTGAAGTCTCACTCTTGGTATTGAAAATAGATTTCGGAAGGATTTTTTTTTTAAAGAATTAAGTTTCAGTAAGAAATAAAATATAAAAAAATAAATAGCAAAGCAAAACAACTTCCAACTTTCTTTGGTATAGATACAAAATGCATTCACCTCTTACTCTACTATTTAAAAGGATTATATATTAGCTCTATCTCTTCTTCTAATATAAAAAAATTACAAATTACAAATGAGTCTATATCAACAAAAAGTATAAAATCAATAGAGTATTTCTATAGTTACAGAATAAATCGGTCATCAAATCCCAAGATCAAATTTTCATTTTTTTGAGTCAAGTAAAACGTCCAAGAGTGGTTTCCAAACACAAACAAAGCCCGACAATGCCTTTTCTTTAATCAAAGTAGTCAGTTTCACCATCTCTGCCAGTTCCATTAGTTTCAATATCCATTCTCCAGCTGTAGGTATTTGTAAATCTTTCCATTTTTGCGCATATAAAAGTCTCGCTGCAGTTATCATATAAAGAAACAATTTTCCATGTTTTCTTTCCACCTGTTTATCCATCATACCTAAAAGAAAACTCTGGTTTCAACTGTACGTCCATTTTTAAATGTTTTGAATCAAAATACATATCATATCCGAATATTTCTTAGCTTTCTCACAAGTCCACCATAGATGAGATTTCAGAAAGATCCCTGACATATCCGCTCATCTTTAAAAAAAAAAAAAGAAAAAAAAAGGGCATCCTAAAGTAAATCCGAGAGGAATCTTTACCCTTATAAATATATTTTATCAGCCATTATGAGACGCACATCTACTACTTTATCGCACACCCATAATCTCTTGCTCCAGAAAGACTGGATCTTCGCAGCCGCCTGATTGTCGTTTATTCAGCACCGAATGCGCGTTGGAGGTCGCCTGCAGTTCCTCATGGACGCTAAACTACAATTCCCATTACCCCACGCGGCAAAGGAAGTTGCTCCGTCGCTGGTCTTCCGGGAAGAGTGAAGAGAAACATCGTGACGTGTTATTATTGCGCGCGACAGGTGAAGGTGAGGAGGTTAGGCGCTGCAGCTGGGGAGACCCCCGCTGCTCTTCTGCGCTATGTTGGGGGCTCAGCCCTTGCACCTCCGTCGGGTTTGCACCCAGGTTCGCTTTTTTTCCGCCGCCGCCGCTCCGGAATCGGTGAGTTCTGCTTGCTCTTCCTTTTTCTTTCGACAAGGGAAAAGGAAGAAGGGATGGGGAGATATACAATAGAGCAGTGGTTCTCAACCAGCGTGCCGCGGCACACAGGTGTGCCATGGGCTTGTTTCTAGTGTGCCGCGAGATTTTTGTCTTATGTTATTTTTCTTCTTTTTGTATTATGTATATTCTGTATAATCCGTATATGCAACACAGTGCAGATATATTTAAAATTTGTATAACTTCCCCTTAAACCTATGTTGATGAAGATTCTCAGTCATCTAGGAAGTGGAAATTATCTGGAGGTTGAGTCATGGCAACTGGACTTCTTTTCTTTTGGTTTGATACGTTTCGCTGCTGCTTGGACAAGCAGCAAAACGTATCAAACCAAAAGAAAAAGAAGTCCAGTTGCCATGACTCAACCTCCGGTTCCCCTTGAACCATGTCTTATACGTTTAAAAATATGTATATACAATTAATAATTTTCTGGTGTGCCACAGAACTACTGCTATATTCAGTATTGTGCTGCAGATTCAAAAAGATTGAGAACCACTGAACTAGATGAATAGGAAAAAAGAGTATGGGTGGTGGAGATCTCCAAAGGCCTATGCTTTGGACCTCCTCAGTTCCTCCAAGGTGCCTTTTAGTTATTTCCATCTTTAGTGTGATCATGTGTGTGTTTTAAAATATATATCCTTGGGGGAGAGTGAGTGCTTCTTCCTTGCTTATTATGAAGACTGCTCAATTTCTGTGCCTAGCTTTCAGAAAGAGATTTATTCACCCTCTTTGTTCTTCTGCCTTTGTCCTATATTTTTTTTAGGACAGCTTTCTTCAAAGTTAAAGCTATTTTTTTTTCTTCAACAGGCACCCCCAAAGAAAACTCACTTTGGTCCCCTCAAAGATGAGGATCGCATTTTCACTAATCTTTATGGGCGTCATGATTGGAAGTGAGAAGCAAAAATGTAGAATGTATTTTGTTTACTGATGGGAAAATATACAGTTTCAAAACTTTTTTTAGCTAGCAGATGAAAGTTAAGATATGAAGGAAACGTAGGATTAGCAAATGTTTAACTAGTGAATTAATTATAGGCTGCCAAAAATATTTTTCTATTTGTCTAATAATTGTGGTTTACTCAAATACAATTGCAATTACTTTACATTTCTCTAGTTGTATTTATTCACTGGCTGTTTGCAGAACTGCTGTCTTGGCTACTAAATTTCTCTGATACTTTCTTTGGCACTGCATAATTTTGCGATCAATGCACTTACTTGTGCAGCTACTACTTTTGAGGTTTTCTGGCTGCTGTAAAGGAAAAGGATGCCAAGAACTGTCATGTCCTGACTTCCATTACCCAGCACACAATAGAAAATGGGGAAGAAAAATCCACAGTGACCTGTTCAACATGACCATGGATAGAGTTGGAGGCCTTACTCAATCCCACATCTTTCTGCTCCTTTTCGATATCTCTTCTGACTTTAGGGAGGGAATTAAGAAGAAGAAAGAGGCTCCAAAGAGCCAATTAATGTTCTTTATGTTAGTTTTTAGAATTAGTTTACTAGGCTATGGTGTTTGCACGATTACTTATCTCCTCCCCTTTGACCAAGTGGAGCATGTCAGATGAACAAGATCTGTGACATCTGATATCAGGACTGGTGTTATGCTTCTCTGCATCACCTTCCCCAAACTGATTTCATACAGAATAGCATTGCAGTTCTCAGCATGCTGGAAATTTGGAGTGTAAAGTATCTGGAGGATCAATAGGCTGGGAAGTATAATAATTATTTTCTGTTAGATTTATATCCCACCTATTTGTACAACTGAAAGTGGAATACATAATGTTCCTGCCTCTTATTTTCCTTATATCAACAACCCTGTGAGGTGGGCTGGGCTGAGAGAGAGCAACTGGGCCAAAGTCATATTACTGATTTTCATGCCTAAAGGAGGACTAGAACTTGTGTTCCCCCAGTTTCTAGTCCAGTATCTTAACCACTACATCAAACTAGCTATCATATTCTAAGGCCAGATGGGGAAAGCAGTTCTAAATTTGTTTACAAAATGGAGTTAATTTGTATGACTCTTTTTCTTTTTTGTCTCTAGGTTGAAAGGGGCTTTGAGCCGAGGCGACTGGTATAAAACCAAGGAAATCCTGCTGAAGGGTATTGACTGGATCTTGAATGAGATAAAGATTTCAGGCCTGAGAGGCCGTGGAGGAGCTGGTTTTCCCACTGGCCTCAAGTGGAGCTTTATGAATAAGCCTCCAGATGGCAGGTGTGTTACCAAATATGAAAATTGTGGTCTAGTTTCAAGTTTTAGATTCTGCTTGTCTTGTTGTGCAGAAGCTGTCTAGAACCATTGCTTTTCCTTCTTTATCCTCAGAAAAACTTTGGGTTGGAAAGCCATTTATTATTTATTAGAATTTGGGATTTTGGTTTCCATTTCAGTCTTTTACATTTAAATTGTGCATCTTAGCTTTGAGGAATGTTCATATCTGTTTCAAAGTTTTAAGCCCATGTCTTCTCCTCTCTTTTTAAAAAGTTGTGTTCTCTAGAAAGATTGGCTCTGTGAAGCAGCAAAATCTCTGGACTTCTTACCCAGAAGAACTACTATGAGGTGGGACAGAGAGTTAGCTCAGCTAGGTGAACAGAGTGTAGAGTTTGCACTTTGAAAATTCATCTTTAAATATCTCTTGTGCTCTTGTGGGCTCTTATTGGGCAGTTCACCTTTTCTCAACCTAGCCTATGATATGAGATTATTATGAGACTAAAATTAGCTGTGGCTGCAGAAATTCAAATATAGTTTCCTCGGTAATACTTAGGATGCATACTTGTATGCTCAGATTTCCTAAGCCTTGATTTCCTTGAGGCTGAAGTTGAATACTATGATCACTGAGTGAGTAAAGATCCTGAACTGAATAGATCAGTTGGGCTAACAGTTATGTGATCTCTCTGTAGACTTTCATATGTAGTAGACAGATTAGCTAGCATTTCTAACTGCAGTGCTACAGACAGATGCTGATGGAGGAGCATTGCTTCTTATTGTTGGGTATAATTCTTTCTGTGTTTCAGGCCAAAGTACTTGGTAGTGAATGCAGATGAAGGGGAACCAGGAACTTGTAAGGATCGGGAGATTATGCGTCATGATCCCCATAAGCTAATAGAGGGCTGCCTAGTGGCAGGAAGATCTATGGGGGCTCGAGCTGCCTACATCTATATACGTGGAGAGTTCTACAATGAAGCATCAAACTTGCAGGTAAGCTGCTGTCTCTTGTGGTTGCCTTAATTTTGTGTGCTGGATTGGCTTTTTCTGTGGTCAGAAATCAAGTTCACTAGTGTTTGGGATTTGGGTGTAATAATTCACGCTGTCTTATCTTATTAGGTGGCAATCAAGGAGGCCTATGAAGCAGGACTGGTGGGCAAGAATGCTTGTGGCTCTGGCTATGACTTTGATGTCTTTGTGACAAGAGGGGCAGGTGCTTACATTTGTGGTGAAGAGACAGCACTTATTGAATCCCTGGAGGGCAAACAGGGCAAGCCACGCCTCAAGCCTCCTTTCCCTGCAGATGTAGGTATGGCATTTTAAACGCTCTCTCTAGTAGTGGTTGGAGGGGACGGTATTCCTAACGTGCTTCTTCAAGTCAACATGGGACTTTCATTGCCTATCTATGCATAACTTCGTTGACATAAATACTCTTTTACCTAAAATAGCTTTGAAGTTCCTGTCCAGATTTCCCCTTTAATGATGCGATTGCCTCTGCTACACGCTCTTCATCCTGAAATTCCGGTTTTGATTATGCTTGTGCCCATTCTCCTTTCCACCTTAGATCCTTCAGAAATGTTGTTCAAGTTAAGCCATTGTCTTTCTTCTTCTAGGGGTTTTTGGGTGCCCTACTACAGTGGCAAATGTGGAAACAGTTGCAGTAGCACCTACCATCTGCCGTCGAGGAGGTACCTGGTTTGCTAGCTTTGGACGTGAGCGCAACTCTGGCACTAAACTCTTCAATATCTCGGGCCACGTCAACACCCCTTGTACTGTGGAAGAGGAGATGTCAGTACCATTGCGTGACTTAATTGAACGGCATGCAGGTGAGAGTGACTTACTTGCCCTAGATAATGAGCTGTCACCTTAATTTAGATACCTCGTATTAGTGAGAGAAGCTTTTTAGTTCCTTCTGTTCCTCGTTTGTTGACATGGTCCAGTCAACTATAGAGCCAAGCCTCATTGTGTGTTTCTGCCTTTTAATCAGGGGGTGTTAGAGGTGGCTGGGATAATCTGCTTGCTGTGATTCCTGGAGGCTCTTCTACTCCCCTCATCCCCAAGTCAGTGTGTGAGACGGTCCTGATGGACTTTGATGCATTGGTGCAGGCACAGAGCGGGCTTGGGACAGCAGCTCTCATTGTCATGGACAAGTCGGTAAGCAATGTTCCCTAGAGCTATTTCTCTGTGTTTCATGCACGGTGCATCTTCACTTTCTTCTCTTTCCCCAGACAGATATAGTTCGAGCCATTGCCCGCCTCATTGAATTTTACAAGCATGAAAGTTGTGGACAGTGCACACCTTGTCGGGAAGGTGAGTGTTACTTTCCAATTTTGGAGTGCTACCAAAATTATCCCAGAATTCGTTTCTGAATTAGGGCTGGGATTGAAAAAAAATGTAGCCCATAATTTCAAAATCTTTTTCTTATGCCAGTATTGTTTAAAATACGGTGGTAGTGGTAGAAACAGATGTCTGAAAATCTCTGAAAAGGGAAATTGTCAGTTATCCCAGGATACAGTCAGAAAAAGACCTCTAGCTTAGTCAGCAAAATCAATTTACACTTCTCTGTTCAGTATCATGATGCTTCTGTGTGACTTTCATGAGGCTTTGTATTTCACTTTTAACATTGATTCCCTTCCTACAGGTGTTGACTGGATGAACAAGGTCATGTGGCGATTTGTGAGAGGCAGTGCACAAGTGGCAGAAATTGATGCACTCTGGGAGATTAGCAAACAGATTGAGGGTCATACTATTTGTGCCCTGGGGGATGGGGCTGCTTGGCCTGTGCAGGTAATTTCTTCTTTACTTACCTTCAGAACATGCTGAAGAATCATGCAATTTGCTTGATGGAGGGCTAGAAATGAAATAATATGATCAGGAGGCATCATGTTGGAGTACAGGGAATGCTACAGATGCTAATTTTTGTGCTTGATTTCTTGTCACAGGGTCTAATTCGTCACTTCCGTCCAGAGCTGGAGGAACGGATGAGACAATATAATGAATCTAAAATACAGCAGGCATCTGGATGAACAGTTATCACCTCAAAGAAGTTACACTGTTCTATAATCTTTTGTAGGCCCATGTCTGCTTTTGCTTGGGCTTCAAGAACGGTGTTTGATTTCTGTTACTTGTGACAACCTGCCTCAAGTCCTATTCTTCTTTTGCTTTCTTATTGGGCAGTTTATCTATTAAATACTTTAGACTGATCTGTGTAATTCCTTATGGAAAGGAGAATAAGGTGAATAGCTGGATGTTACCATATTTAATTATTAGATTTATTTGGCCATCCAACTCAGAAATGTGACTCTGGATGGTGTACAGCAGTAAAAATAGAATGCAATAAACCCCACTGAAAATCAAAACACACAGCCAGGAAGCCCCATCACATCTCACACAACAAGCTCATCAACATCCTGTGCCCAAGGGCCTTGGGGGTCCTTATATAGTTCTTGGAGTGATTGACTATGAAATGAAGCAAGGAAGTCCCTCTAGCCTATATGAATTTATGGGAAAATATTGTCCAAGGGAGCAATCAAGACTCTGTAGTACATATATGTAACTTCCAATGAACTAATCTGAACTACTGATTAATTTCCCCTTCCTAATTCTTCTTTTGCAAGGTCTATAAATGTGCAGATGAAGTGGAAAGCTGATTGTACTACTAATATTGCAATTCTTTTTAAATGTTTCTTACAAGTAGTAAACATCAAGATGAAATGGTCTAATGCAGCACACGTGGTTGTGCATGTTATATTTCAGTATTGTTTTGCATATGCAGTCATCTTTAGAAACTACAAAGGCTTAATAAGAAAGGAGCAGTGCAGTGTACTAAAAGATGGGTTTCACCCCTTCTTGAATTAGCTTTTTGAATAACCCACAATTGCTGGATTCACATAATGTGCCCTAAACCAAAAACAGGCAAACCATATTATGGTTTAATGTAGTATGTAATTCTTGTATTCTTGCCTCAACTGTTGCTCTGGGAGAAATTAAAAGGGACAAAGAACAGTAGACCATTTCAAATTGTTTCATAGTAAATGGAATAGTTTGTCTTTGGACTGCTTACGAATTTTTCTCTCTTTTATAGTATTCTTCTATTCAGCTTTTTAAACTCTAAGCTACCCAGAGTTGTTAGGAGTTATGTGGCCTCTAAATTGTTTAAATACATAGATACAGTACTGTAGTACAAAATCCCATTTCATCCGTGTTGAAAAAAAAAAGCACAGGATCTATGGAGAACGTCTTGAGGATAGACCATAGTATTATTCCAGGGTTCCAAGCTCACTTAGGAATGTTAAAACGGGGAATCAGATTTTGCTCTCTTATGCCTCTTACATCACATACCCAGCAATGGTGGCATTTAAATTATTTTACATATTTTTCCATATCGCACAGGCCACAATTTTTGTCTAACAGATATTAAAGCTAGAATACATGCTTAAAATAAGTACCTGAAACAATAGGTGATGTTATTAGAAGAGGTTCAGTGGGCTACTTATCAGTTTAATATAACTCTTTGTACCTATAGATAACAAATGATCCCGAGGATTCCTGGGCCCATCACTTTTGGGGACTAATTCCGGGACAGATGACTCCAGATAAACTATATTTATCTGGTTATATTTATATTGCCAGTTTGTTATTGCTGTTATCATTTTGCTTTCTTGATGTGGTTAATACCTGTCCTGAGAAGTAAGGATTTTAAAAATTACCGTTCGATGAATATCCCAAAATCTCATTAAAGCATGTATCAACCTTGAGTTAAATGGGGTTTTTTTGTATCCCATAGTTTAGGAATACATTGGGTGAAATTCCATGGAGTTCAGGCTTATCAGTGTTTGTTGGCACAAAGTTTTCCTGTAAATCATCTACGAAAGAAAACCGAGTGCCTTAAAGAAAAATTCAGTCCTTCGATCTTTCCAGCCATAAACTCCTAAGACCTCAAGGTCGCTGTAAGGGGCGAGGGAACTGTTACTGCCCGGCCTCTCAGTTTGGGGCGTGGCTTTTGCGAGCTGCCGGCCTCATTGGCTGAGGCGGCGTCCCCGTCCTCGCCGGTCGGTTCTAAGCTGCTCTGAGCGAAGAATTCTCTCTTGACGGAGGAACGTTCCTACGAGGTTAGAACGGTGCTTTCCATGTTTCGGCCTGGCGGAAGTATGCGCGCTAACCGACATCACCCTGTTCCCCCATCTGTTGAAAGGCAGGCTGGGAAGCTTTTCAATCCCGCCATATTTGTTGAGGGGAGGAGAGGGGAGGGGCTAACGGAGCCCTGGGATTCTCTGCTCGGCTTCGGTTGCGTCGCCGCGTCGTTTGTGGATAGCTCTGGTGGCGGACTGAGGACTGTGTTGTGTCTTGCCGTGGTGGCTGCTCTCGGAAGACCCTTTTTTTTGCCTCTGACAACTTTGAATGGGACGGTTTCAGCAGCCACGGCGCCTCCTTGATGGGGTGGACTACGACTCCCATCAACCTCAGGCTGGTTGGCTGAGAATAATGGGAAGTGATGTCCAACTCTTGGAGAACGCCAGCTTGGGTAAAGCTGATAAGGCAAAGACAAAACAAAAATCCTAAGTCGGACACCCTGGTTAACCTTCCTAAGATGGGTTTTGTTCTCTGATAATGGAGGAGTAAACCCCGGCCTGCCCTGGGTCTGTCACGTCCCGGTGCATTTTCCGGAGTCTCTGTGCTTGTTAGACGGCCGCAGCAGCGTTTCCTGACATGATACGAAATGACTTGCAGACCAAATGTGGTTAGCCCAGATTTGACAGTGGAGATGAAAAAAATAGATGCTTGGGTTTGGACTTTAACCCTCCCTGTCTGTGGAATCTATTTACGCCTTTCCGCCTGCTCTTGCAGATCCCCGTGTAGTGTTGCAAAAGCATGTCTGAACTAACCTGTAGGAGCCCTGCAGTGAGGCTCAACGAATTACTAGGCCACAGGGTGTGGGCTGCCATTCAGTGAAATCCATCCCTTCCTCTTTTTTCCCCTTTTAGGGCATTATGCTTCCCTCTCTGCACTACCTCTGCCGGCGTATACCCCATATACCCATAGCCAGTGTGGGTCTGGTACGTAGATATTTATCTTGGGAAAATGAGCAGCGATGCCGAGGGCTGCTAAAGGCATCCACCGCCCGATACAGGAAAGAAACTGTGGGGGCAGCTGTGCTGGTGTCTCTGTGCTCCGTGGCTGGGGACCCAGCTATCCTGTACACTCTGCGTTCCAATGCTCTGACCGGTTTGTACAAAGGAGAAGTCAGGTACTTGACAGCCTAATCTTCCTCCTTGGTAAATGCAAAGATAAATTGCAGGATACCCAGACAGGAGTCAGTAGCCCCCAGTCATATCCCCTTGTTGCCTTTGGTGGATCTCATAAATTCTCTGAAGAACAGTTGAAAAACTGGGCATAGAGAAGATTAAAGAGAGGCATAATAGTGGTCTTCAGATATATGAATGTCTTACAAAAGGCAGGGCACAATCGTTCTAAAGGAAGTGGCAAGAAAGCACTGTTTAGCTAAACATTACAAACTGGCATGCAAATGTTTAACAGCAAAATAGACTGGGGAGGGGTTATTTGAAAGTCAGGATGGCCACTCAACAGGATGTATCTTCATTGAAAAACTTGCACCAAGTGAGTGGTTGGGCCAGAAGATGTCCAGGAAACCTCCTGACTCTCCCAGTCCCCTTCAACCCTAAGTAATCTTAAGATTTTCCCCTCCCAAACTTCCCTTGCACAATAATTGTGATTTGCTTCTACAGTTTCCCAGGTGGTAAGCGTGATGACTCTGACCAGGATGCCATTACCACAGCACTCCGGGAGACCCATGAAGAGCTGGGTATAGAGTTAAAGGAGGACTGTGTCTGGGGAATCATGAGACCTCTGCCTGATAGGGTAATGCTTAGACCCCATATTTTCAGGGATAAGAGGAATCTTGAAATAGGTTTCTGTAATGGAATCACGATAGATATCCTGTTTGCACTGGGATCAGTAGGGGAAAAAGCTTTTTTATAACTGCTGTCTGAGATGAGAGAAATGGAAGATTTCTAGAAAACAGAAAGGGCTGGGCTAGGGGATTGGCATGCCACTTGGGACATGCCTTGCAAGAGGAAGCATGGGGTAGCCAAGGACTCACGTGTGTTTAATTCTGGCTTTTTTTCCCCCCCAGACTAATATGATGGTGGCTCCTGTACTAGCAAACTTGGGGCCTCTGGAGAACCTGATGCTGAAGCCTAACCCCCACGAGGTGAATCAGAATATTAACTGGGACTCAGTGATAGTGTATCAGATGTTACTTTTATTCAATGTGTATTTCCAGAAAAATGGGTGTGAAAGAAATCTCAGACACTTAGTGATACCCTAGTGGCAATCCTTCCTATGTTAAACACTAATTCCCTTGGAAATAATCCTTGAGTGGAGCTTAAGCAACCTGTGGTAGGGATCAAATGGGTGGGATCCACCATTTTCTTTCTTTTTGACACCAGGTGTTTCTCTTTCTGAACCCCTCTTTCCCTTTTTTTCTTCTCCCTTGTTTTCGTTCTGATCCTCTTTTCTCTTTTTTCTATATTACAACTGTCCACATAGGGACAGTTCACTCCTTTGGGGTCTGAACTAACTACTTCCAAGAGATTTTGAAGAGTAGAAATCCTGTTTTCCATGATTCCTGTCTTGGGCTGGAAAGCCTGGGGATGAAGGTGTTTTCTTAAAGTGGCAGGAAGATGAATATGCTTTCCATTTAACAGGTCATTAGGAGATGGAAGAGAAGATATTTATTCCATAACTAGATTGGACAATTTGTGCTTCCACTCATCCCCACAATCTTTGTTGTTTGATTTACAGGTTGAGACTGTCTTTACGTTGTCTTTCTCCCACTTGCTGCAAGAAAAGAACCAGGGCTATACTCACTTCTGCCGCGATGGTGTCTATAGCCACACAATGCCTGTCTTACTGCACGGTCCTCACCGTGTATGGGGTCTTACGGCTGTCATAACTGATCTGACTCTGGAGTTGCTAGTTCCAGGAAAATACCGGAGGCGGAGTTATGTCGTGGGTCGGCGCTGACTTTTGGCTCAAATCCACACTTGGGTCTCCAAGATCTCTTTCTGTTTTTCATATTTGTCAAAGAACTTCAGAACTGATGATCTCATCAGCCAGGTGCTGCTCCTTTTCCTTGTCATAAGGATCTTTCAAAACTCAGGTCAGGTCATTTCTGCAGAGCATGAAGAAAACAGTTTCTCTCTTCAGTCCGCTACCCCAGAATGCAACTGTTACATTACTGGGGAAAGAGAGAAGAAACATCTATCCTGTTCTACTGTCAGTTGTTGTTTGGTCTTATCCCAAATAAAACCTGAATAAACAAGGACACAGGGAACTTCATGCAGATTTCTGTTTTGGCAGGTCTATGGGTACTAAAGATAAAACGTAGCAGGTGTTAAACCCAGAGATCCCAGACTTGCATCCTTTTTTTTTTTGTAATGGCAATAATTTCATTCAGAAATATTGTATTGACAGGCTAGATAAAATGAGTGTTTGCCAAAGAGGACACTGACCTTTTAAGATATTCAGATAAGTGCCAGCCATACAGTATAGGAGAAAATTCGTGAATGAATATTAATCCCTATTTCTTTTATATTTCCACCATTTCCTTGTCATGTGGAATTTCAGTTTAAATCTCTGTGCCGATTTAACAGAATCTGCATTTTAATAACAGCTGTATGTAAATCTAGGCTGTATGCAAGCAACAGTATTTAAATATCTCTTCTGTTTTTAATGAGATCAAATCTGAAATTGTTTGGGATATAGGGAGTTTAATATAGTCAGTTCCTAGGTTTTTGAGACATGGAACATTTTCTCTATACCCTTCCTACCCCCTAAAATAGCAGAATGAGTCACATATTGCTATCCCAAGAAGACATAATTCTCATTGAGGCTGTGGCATAGCTTGTAGAACAAGGCATCTTATAAGATGTTTGTGAACTGGTAGAACCTTGGTTGTGATGGCAATCTGAGTTCCTTTTTATGGTGGTCATATGGTGGAAACAACATGCCGATTTCTCCTAGACTTAGTCCCAATACTTTACCAGGCAATGGTACAATTGGAGTTGAAAACCAGGGGTTCAAATATTTTTTTTGGTGTAACAACAATTCCAGAGTGTTGGCAGGCAATTACAGAGATGATACATATTTCTGAACAAAGGTTCACACCAAAAATGTTATGTATCCTTCCTTGGAGGAGAACAAAGAATATTGGTGCGTTAAGAGAGAGTCTGAAAATAATACGGTAGAAGTGTATAGGTCTGAATGGATATTGTAGCTTAAGAGACAGAAACTGATAGATTATAAATTGAATGTGACTTTTGGAAAAAAGAAAAGTACCAATGAATACATGAGGTGGACAGTTTTGTTTTACAGTAAGCAGGCTACCAGCTACTTTCATAAGCTGAACGTGGAAAGAGGAGGGTCATGCCTAAAAAGAGGCAATAGAAAAGTGCTACTAAATTTAAATTAGTTTAATAAATAAATACCAATCCTGCCCTGAGGTTACATCTATGCAGGGAAGTCTCCACAAACAGGCCTCCCTCAAAGGTTGCACTGCAGTCCCAAAAGAGTCTCTCTGTGGTGACCAGCCCCATCTGCCAGGTAGGGCAGAATAGCAAAGAGCACCGTGAGCTCACAAGGAAAGCCCCACTCCTTCTGTGCATGTGTAAGGACGTGACATGTACTTCGAAAAGGGGCACAGCTTGCAGCAGGACTCTGAAAGCAGCCTGATCCTTTGTGGCAGCATCCATGTGCAGAGACTTCCCTTTCTCTAACACTGTGTTTCTCAATCTTGGCAACTTTAAGATGTGTGGACTTCAACTCCCAGAATTCCCCCGCTTGCTGGGGGACTCTTGGGGTTGAAGTCCCCCCATTTTAAAATTTCCCAGATTTAGAAAAAAAGGGGTAGAGGAAAGGGAGTACCCGCAAATG